AATAAACAGATGAGATATCAAGGCACATTTTAATAACAATCACCATAATTACTGGTGGAGTTCCTTTGAAGGAAGAAACTCTTTTATTCATAGATCGGGGTTACCTACACCGGTCCCTAATAATTGTGATTCCCAATGACAGATACCTATGGAATAGAGCAGTGGTTCTCAACCTTCCTAATGCCGCGAACCTTTAATACAGTTCCTCATGTTGTGGTGACCCCCAATTTCATTGTTACAAATTGAACATAATTAAAGCATAGTGATTAATCACAAAAACAATATATAATTATATATGTATTTTCCGATGGTCTTAGGCGACCCCTGTGAAAGGGTCATTTGACCCCCAAAAGGGTCGCGACCCACAGGTTGAGAACCACTGGAATAGAGAGAGAGCATGTGAAATACCACTCAGTACAGAAAATATCAGATTGCCTATATGCATAGAAATTTGTGATCATTCTCTAAGTGGCTTTCCAGAAGCACATTATATAATGAAAAAGTTTACATTTCTAGAGCATGTTCTCTTAACTACCTTAATATGAAAGGGAAAATAAGCTTTAGTATTCATGATATCGATTTCCAGATCATGAAGCACTAAGCATCAGCAAAGACATTTAGAATGATTCATTAAAACAAACAAAACAAGTATAAATTCTGAAATGGAAAATTTCAAAATAAATGTAATGTTTATGATTAGCTGGGGATACTGCTGTGCTGGCACACTGGGGATGCTTTTAGTGAATCCTGATCCTGGAAAGACTCAAAAAGATCTTATAAAAATTGTTAGCAGCCCGGCCGGTGTGGCTCAGTGGTTGAGCATCGACCTATGAACCAGGAGGTCACAGGTTCGATTCCTGGTCAGGGCACATGCCCGGGTTTCGGGCTCAATCCCCAGTAAGGGGGTGTGCAGGGAGGCAACTGATCCATGGTTCTTTTTTATCATGGATGTTTCTATCTCTCCCTCTCCCTTCCTCTCTGAAATCAATAAAAAAATATTTTAAAAAAATTGTTAGCAGCTTAGTTTTAATAAAAGCTTTAAAAAATGTTTTGTTTAAAGGTTTTTTTTCTTAGAAACCTTAATGTTAAGAAACATAAAGCTATTTATTAACATCAGAAGCCTGGGTGTCATGAGAATCTGAGGCATTGAATTATAATTAACAAAACAGATTTAACTCTCATCATCAAAGAAGGGGGAGGAGAAGGAGGAGAAGGAGAAGGCGGAGGAACAATGGAGAACAAAAAAAATCTAAAAACAATTTCAATGGACAAATAGCATTAGCATCAGAAAGCCCAGTGACACTTAAAAGTGGTGACAACCCCTTAAAACAGTGGCAAGCAAACTGAACTATCTGTTTCCAGAAACTGAACTTATCCAAAGGTGTTCCAGGCCTTGCAGAATCATTAGTGAATTAAGCATATGATCTAATGCACTTGTGGGCAACCAGAAAATATATAAATAGAACAGTACATTGTGACATAGTTGTATCTTCAAAATCTCTTATTAGTGATTTAGCTTTGAAAGGAGAGATGAAGTCATCCTCAAACATCCAACTGTCTCAGAATAAGGTATTGTGAGAAATGTTATCACAGTATGTCAAACCCTTAAAAAGCCTAATAGTATATAAGATAATTCATACAACAATCGATATGTTGTGTTTTTACTACAAGAAGGCATTTTACAAACATTTATCTCAGTGGAGGCTAAATAATCACTTACTAGTAATCAAGGTGGCAGAATTCTTAAATAGTACGTAGAGCAAATTTTTGAACCCTTATTATTTGACTTTAAAGTCCATATTTCTTTGTTGTTGTTGTTGTTTTGTTTTATTAATCCTCACCTGAGGATATTTTTCCATTGATTGCTAGAGAGAGTGGGAGACAGAGGAAGAGACAGAGAAAAACACCGATGTGAGAGACACACATGGATTGCTTGCCACCTGCACACACCCCAACTAATGCCGGGGAACCTGCAACCAAGGTACGAGCCTTTAACCAGAATCAAACCCAGGACCTTTCAGTCAGTGGGCTTACACTCTATCCACTGAGCAAAACTGGCTAAAGTACATATTTCTAATGAAATATTCCATAAATATTACTGAAGAAAAAGAAATGAAACTCCAAGTTTCATACTAATATCTGCAGGAAAATACTTATGGAAGAACGATGTGGTTTCTTTAAACAAGATGCAAAAGTTTTCACATCTTCACTTATATTTGTGCAAAGTGGCTCAATCTGAGATGAACCACAATAGTATCCATATCATTTTCAAATGCCAATTCCTATCATTTAAAAAACCTACACTTCTCTACTAGACTTTACTTCATTTATCTTTATACTTTGGTTGGCCCATACTGCACCTTGGACAGACGTAGGCATACAATCCATATATTTTAAATTAATGCTTAACTTAAAAACTTTTCCTTATAACTAAATACTAAATACTATTTGTTAACCAACCAGAATTTATGTCCTGTTTTTACTTCTTTTTGGGACACTGATTTTTCAGTGGTGAAACGTGGGTAGAATCCACCTCTTCCCTGTGCAGGGAACCTCGCAATATGCCTACTATCTGCAGAGAGGCATCTCTTAAATTAGACTGAACCAATCAAGAAAGTGCGACTATATTTTTTTCTGTAATTATTTCAGCAATCCAAATGTTAGAGAATTATTGTATAAAACGACTATTAATCATTTAGAGATGGGTGACACAAGCAGATAACAGGACAGATCTTTTCTTGGATGTTTAGAGAATAGAGTTTTCTCCTTCAATAATTAGGCATGAACAAGAAAGCCTGCTGTCCTTGTGCCTGCCGGAGGCCATGTGTGGCCACAAGAGAAGCCTATCTAAAGATGAAGCTGACATGGGGAGGCCAGATACAAGAGAATCCATAGAAACTGAGCCTGACACTTGAGTACCCTGCTCTTGGAGCCTATTCAAAATCTTGCATTGTTTAGTAATGTGGTCCCTTATCCTTAAGAGCCAGTTTAAATCACAGTTCACAGTAATTGTATTTGAAAGTGTCCTAAGTGATAGGAGGTATCTAATTTGGCTACTAAAATATAAGCTCTCTCATGAGATTATAAAACCCATCACAACAGGCACCCTGATTGTCATCCTCAGCATTAAATTCCCAGCAAATAGAGCAGTGACTGGCTCACAGCAAGCAAGCAATGAATATTTGTTGAAATAAACGAGTAAATGGCTAAATGAATGGCTTCCCAAATACCAGTATTTTCTTTGTTTTGTTTCATAGTACTCTAGATAAAAAATGGAATATACTTTTCTATTCAAATATTAAGGAAGATACTATTCCTTGCTAGAGGCCAATTAGGTTTAACAAGCCAACCTTAAACACATTTGCATGACATATCCTCTTTCATCTTAACACCATTAATTTTCCATTTTTTAAATTAAGTATTCATTCTTTAAGTGATCAAAATAAAAAATAGTTACATAGTTGTAACTAGGGAAGGAGGGAGAATGAGACCACGACTTCTGTAGCACAGGGCTTTTGAAAGACCTATCTACCTTCTATTCCAAATGAAAAATGGGGTCCCAACAATGTTTCCTTGATGAATAGTGTGGCAATTTCAAAACTGAGTTTTTCTGTTTACATGACCTTAAATTACAGCGAAATCCACAAGCATTTAAAAGTAAAAGACTGCCTTTTCTGACCCTCATTTCACATCTACAATTACCCAACTCAAATCACATGAGAATAATACTGAACACACACTGTTCATTACTATCTTCTTTTTGAATAAAATGAAAGGATCTACGTGCTACTCTGTACTTCAGTTTTCTATAGCTTGAATTTAGGTTGGCAATATATATTTTTTCGCACAAATAATAGAACAGCCTAATTCTTAAACTGTAATATTCTTGAGTTGAAAATATAACTGTTCTATCATTGCTAAGGACAACTGATTAATTAGCCACTTATACTGTCAACACTGTATTATCTACCTTTTGTTTTGTATATTCTGAAGCTTTGACATCTTGGAACTTGCTGACACTGGTGGGGTTGGGAGGTTATCTGCCAGGGTTAGCCAATTCCTAGAGATAGTATATAAGTCACCTGGGAGAATGCTTTTCAAATGCAAACCAACCAATCCAGAGTCCATACCCCCAACAACCTCCATTATCAGGCTCTCACACTCCAAGCCACTATCCAGCCCACCAACTCTGCTGCTTCCCCACATGGACTTTTCTTCCTGGGAACTCTGACTATTGTCTCTTGATCTGTTACCACTACCATACCTAAATAAAAATAAGATCTGTTAAAGCATGTACATAAGGTATTATTATATGACAATAGAGTTGTAAAACAAGGGCTTGAAGAAGAAAGAAACATGGTTAAAATTTCTCTAATGGGCTAAAAAAATTTTTGAAAGACCCTGAAAATTGGTAATCGAGTGAACACAATTCAGATGTGTAATATATATATTATGTTTTTTACTATAAAAATGGTATTCATAGTTTTCAAAATTGTGCTTTTAATTTAACCTCTGAATTCTCTTGTTTTGCCTATTTTCTTCAGTTATACCACATCTTTTGATTTTGAAGAAACTTAACACATAATCCTAGAAGAACATCTGATTTCTCTATAAAGTATATATTGTGTATCCCTCCCCTGACCACTCCTTGCCCCAGAAGGGTAGATTTATTTTTAGATTCCTCCATCTAGAGGTAGGGTGGGTATCACAAGCCAATTTAGGGATAAGTACAATTTTAGCCAAGAGACTAAAAATGAATAAGAAAAGTAGAACAGACCCATTTTGAAAAGACATGCGGGTCTTGGGAGCCTGGACTGATAGGCCCCTCTCCTGCCTCAGTTCCCACTCTTTATCTTGACCTCCAATAGCCAGATCAAGTTCACTAACTGTTCAGATTCATGTAAGGTTCTGGGACAATGGAATTGCAAGTTTTTATCTCGGCATGGATTGAGCCTTCACAACTGCTTCACTTCTGAGGACCTTTGGCCCTGGGGCTGTAGGGACTAAGGCTGTGTCCCTTCGAGATCAGACCATTCCCAGCGCCACGAACACAAGCAGCTCTTTTGGAAAGGGCTCCAGGTGGGATACCAAGAAATCAGAAGAGAAATGCAAGGCCTTCCAGGAAATTTGCAAATACTTCTCTGAGGAGGAGTGGACAGAGTGGGGAAACAGAGAAAAGCACCTATGTGTACATGAAAAACAACTATGACACCATGACTGGTCTAGGTCTCAGGGCCACCCTCCCAGCCTTGTTGTGTCCTAAAAAACTTACACGGAATTCCATGGGCACAGATCAGAACCCCAGGAATCAGAATGAACATCCTCAGAAGGCTTCCAAAGTCCAACAGAGAAAACAGCTGAAGGTATCTTCCAAATCTAAAGAGCAACAGAGCCTTTCTCCCCCCATGGATGTGAATATGGTGGAGTCCAAGAAGCCATGGGAAGAAAATGACTTGAAGCTACCAGTTGGCTCCTAAACGGCTCTGCCCACTGAGGAAAGCAAGTACCTTTGGCCAGTGGATTAAAAAGTCAGTAGGACCCTGGAAAGGGAAGAATAACATTTGGGCCCACAGACCAAGAGGAAAACAGAACCCAGTTGTTTATGAAGAGATTGGTGACCCCAAGGAAAACGACTAACTCTGGATGTGACAAGTGCCCATGAGTAGAAGTAGAACCTGGTGACCTTCCGTGAACATGGGCAAGGCTGTGATCTCCTGGCCATCAGATGTACAGCAAGTAAAGGAAAGAGTTTGTGACAGTGAAAACTTAAGCACGATGCTTCTTACTATGTACCAAATATTCTGTTAATGTTAGAGCTTGGTTGATGAGCAACACATATATCCAATGCCTATTTCTGTCTGTGTATGTGTATCCAAGCACTTACCCCAGGAAACAATTTCATCAGGAATCTCTGACCAGAAGGGACTACTGAGGGCAATTCTGGGGGTTTGATTCCAGATATTTTTCTCTGCATTTACACACACACACACACACACACACACACACACACACACACCACACACACACACAGTATCATTATGAGCATCTCTCACCTGCTTTTCCCCACTAACAGAGTGTCCTGGGGACGTCCCCTACTCTGTTTTCTGTTCAGCAGATACTCCATGCTGCAATCCTGAGTATCCACTTATCCTTCATCAGTTACTGCAAATTAATAAATTACAAGCCACTGACCCTCCAAGAAGTAGAGCATCAGTGTAAATGAGGTCTCTAAAAAGGATTAGTTTCATGAGAGACATCAACTACCACCATTGTCACCAGTCATCCAGGATTTACTAAAGCTTTGTTAATGCTGGGCATAATGTTAGTTATTAGGTACATAAACATAAAAAAATAAGGTCCCTATCTGTATCAGGGTCTGATCAGAGAAAGAGAACCCAAAAGGGAATTGTTGTAGGGATTAGATATCAAATTATTATTAAACTTGGTTAATGATTCTATATAAGATTGTTGCCTTTATGTTGAGTGTTGGACCTGAAGTCATGATAGGTCAGCCTAGCCCACAGTCAGGAAGGAGAGCTGCATAGAACTTGGAGGAGAGTGAGTACACACTGGGATGCACAAGGACAAAATAAAACCTACCTCTGTTTTCTATCACATTAACACTTGATCATGTGAATGACCTGCAGAAGAAGCAAGTATCATTTGTCATTCACCACAAAACTAAACACACAGCTGGTCCATCGTATAGAGAAATTGAAAGAGGAGCTATCCTGGGAGCTAGCAGAGCTGTGGGCCTGGATACCACCTCACACCAGTTTTTGAGTTTACAGAACAGTAACAATGTATACCAAAATCAGTGCTCAAAAGTGGCTTCTAATTTACTTTTTCCTTCCAAATCTCACACAAATTTCTATTGTTGCCACACCTGATCTGGACCTGCAAAGGGTAGGTAAATTCTAATGTGGCTATAGTTGCATATCAGGAAACCACCAAAGTCCATCCCTTCCCTTGTGAAGTTGGCCTCCCTACATACCTCTTTTAACTATATTTAACTTTTCTGTAAAAAAAAAATATGGCAAAGTCGTGCTTCCACCTAAAATTATAAAAGTATCACTTATACAACCAAGAGCATACTAACTCTCTTTTGAAAAGAATATAAAGTTTATGTGTCCAACTGGATAATGTTTTTTTTTTTAGCTGAATCACACTGACCCTTTAATAATTTGTAGCTTAAATACTGAGGTAGATTAATAGATCTTATGTTAGATAACAAGGGAATGAGAGAGGGGAAAATATAATTAGTTAATGTATTTACAAGTAGATTTATATCAGAACAGCAAGAAATATTTATAACTATTATAGTCCTCAGTTCTACAACTAATCATTTATTCATAAACTAGAGGCCTGGTGCATGACATTCATGCACAGCAAGGGGGAGGGGCATCCCTCAGCCCATCCTGCACCCTCTCAGAGTACAGGACCCCTCGGGGAATGTCAGCCTGCTGGCTTAGGCCCGCTCCCCAAGGGTCCTTAGCGCTGCTGCAGAGGCAGGAGAGGCTCCCGCCACTGCCACTGCACTCCCCAGCAGTAAGCCCGGCTTCTGGCTGAGCAGTGCTCCCCTGTGGAGCGCACTGACCACTAGGGGGCAGCTCCTGCATTGAGCATCT